TCTCCACTCTCCTGTCAAGTTGACTAAAATACTGATTTAAGATTTCAAACCCTGCAGTCAAGATGTACTGAAGGATCACTTCTGGCAAAAAAAAATGAAATCAACCCAAAGTACAACTAGTTTATATAACTGTCCAAAATGATTACGCAAATATTCCTTCTTGCATGGGTGTGCCTTGCTGCTGTGACAGTTTCTGTTCTGTAATCAGAGGCTACCTTTACGTAATCTGCTGATGTCAGTAAACCACTAAGACAGTGTACTGCATCATTGGTGGGACAAATCAAATCCATTGAAGTCAAAATTGTGGCTGTGAAAAAGTCAAATCTTATACACAAGTAGCTATTGAATACTGTTCATTCACTGGCAGCTGGCAAGCCTCCAGGGACAACTGCTGACTGAATCTTGATCCCATGAATAAACAGAAAATGTCTTTCTTTTCTGTTTGGCATGGTGCAAGAGTCTTCTTCAGTCAGCATACCAGGTCAGGTCTGTGTTAGGGGGATGAGCCAGGGTTTGGTACATCGAGCCCCTTACTGTTGTACTGAATGCAAAGTTTATTTCTCAGTCAACAGTGCCTTCCCTAGTGTCCCAGGAGCCTTTAGGAATCACTCAGATGTCATTAAAATATGGCTTTTTTTCACCTGTCTATGTACATACAGGTAAATTATGTCATTGTGCTTGAATTGCAATATCTCTCTTAGAGGAAACATTAAAATTTGCTATTTTTATTTTGTCAACTTTTAATTGTAATTTACAAATTAATAATAATGATAAACTTTGTGTAAACATCACAAAGTTATCCAGGCTTTATGTACCAATGAACATGAATCTTTTTTTTATGAATTCTATCATGGTTCAGTGTAACAGGCCTTAAAAATGGAAAATGTCAGTAATACAATATAACAATAGTTTTCAAATTTCAAAGCTCGCAAATGAGATTAAACAAAACTATTTACATTGGCTTATTCTAATATAAACAAACACAAAATGTGTTACTAATAAAATTACAGTATTCTTTTATATTGTAAGTTTACAGTAGTAACTAGTTGTTGAGTTTGTTTTTAATATTTTTTGTGAAATAAATATGTCTGCCTGTTTTTTCAAACGGCATACTTTTATAGTAGGTCATGAGGCAGCCTTATGAAATGCATGCGTATTTCTTGTGCAATTGATGTTTATTTTCTCTACATTTAGGGTAAAGATGGACCTCAAGGAACGACTGGATCAGCTGGTGTCAAAGGAGATAAGGTAAAGTTTTTCTTTTAAGTGGCAACTCTGAATACGTCTTTGTCTCTTAAAATTAGAAAATGTGGTATAGATGGCAGCATAGTGATAAATTTGTCTGTGCAATTTTTCAGAAACAATCAGTTTAAAGCTCCTGTGAGGATTTTTTAGCAGCTAAATAATACTCTTTGTGACCTTCAAAAGCAAACAAGACCATCAGAGATAAGATTTCTTATAGAGTTATTTTATATACCTGTCACTCTCGCAACGGTGTAGGTGTCAGACAGGGTGATTAACAGCACGCTGCCATAACAGCCTTTTTCAGATTTTCTGTTCTAAAGATTTATTTTGAGTTCTTGTATTTTTAGTCATTTCAAATAAAGAAGGATTTGTCAGAAATCAGTCCTCAAATGTGCACTATGTAGATTTGGTAGTGCATTTTGAATGTTGGAGAAGTGAAACATTTCTATGCTTTATTTTCTGAACTAAATACACAAACTTTATTCAAAGAAAAAAAAGGGTCCCTGGAACACTGTTTGGAGCTAAAAAGCTACCATAAGAGTTACGGTTTCACTGTTCACTGGCCCCCAACATATATGTTCTTGCATAGCATCTTATCTTCAAACAGTGTTACAGGGACCAAATTTTCCTCTGAGGACAGTTTGTATAGAGTTAAACATATACTACAGAATCTGTACACTTCTCCAACTTTCACATTTCTCTACCAAAACTCCATAGTGCACCTTTAAACATGCACAGGACAAGATTAGCAAATCATTTTATACACAGGGGTCGCCAAAATCAGCACAACACAAATCCTCACAAGAGCTTAACTGATCTTAAACTGATCGTTTCTAATGATCTCTTCATGTCATTTTTTCAGGGATTCAGAGGAATTTTGGGTCAGCAGGGAGTTCCTGGTCTCGATGGTGAGGAGGTAGATTGACTAGAATGTGTTTGCCACAGACTTCATTTATTTTTTCTATCAAATTGAAGGCAAAGGCACTCTAATGTCTCATTTAAAAGAAACGTATTTAAAAATATATATTCAGAAAAAGAGAGTTAGGGGCCTTTGTCTATATGGTTAAACTTACAGAAAAACAGGCGTATGTTATACTTGAATATGTACATGCTGGTGCGTTCAGGGTCCAATCGGACTGAGGGGACCGGTTGGCCCAGCTGGAATTAAAGGCAAATCTGTGAGTGAATGTGTCTTTTTTAAATGTTTCCTTTTGATTCAATAGTAGTGTTGAAAAGTGTTATTATTCTATGTGACATTCTTCTTTGACCAACATGTAAAGGAACATAATGTTTTCAGTAAAACAAACAAAAAAGTGTTTGCCTACATCTCAGGGGGACAAGGGGAACTCTGGTCTTCCTGGACATAGAGGGCCAAAAGGAGCTGAAGGCAACCAAGGCATACTGGGGCCACAGGGAACCAAGGGGCCACCAGGGAAACAGGTAGAAAAGATTTCTTTCAAACATACAGTTTGCTCGAATACTGTAAGCCCTCCAATTTTTACATTTTGTGAGATGATGGTGATGACAACATGGCTCAGGGGTTTCCTTAAAACTTCCTGCCAGTGCCTGCTTAGAGTTTCTCCTCCAAAATGGCTATAATTCAAATTGTAGGAAGCCTTGCAATCACCACCCAAATAGGAATATCTATTTCTCATTGGGATGTGCAGATTTACTCTCTGCTTTGTTTTAACCATTGACCCTCTTTGCAGGGGTCCAGGGGTGCACAAGGAGACAGAGGCAAATTTGGGGTACCTGGAATAAAGGTCAGTCATTTTAGTCAGTCAGCAGCAATGCTAGGACTGACCTGACAAATGATGTTGTGGTCAAAATTTTGGTTTACAGTCTGAATTTCGTGATGATGTGTTCACAGGGTGAGCCAGGCCTCAGAGGTTCAACGGGCAAAAGTGGACAGTTTGGACCAGGGGGGGACACTGGGGCAGCAGGGACCAAAGGCCAGAAGGGGCTTCAAGGACAAACTGTGAGTAACATAGTCATAGTCAGATTATTTGATCATGAGTGTTGGCCAAAAGGTTATCTGATGACAACTTGCATCCAACATGTTGGATTCGAAGCTTGATCCAAAGGCAACTGGACTGGTTGAAGGTCTTGAACATGTTGTACTTAATGTCACGGTGTAGATGAGTAGTTTATGCTTGAGCACGTGGTCTGGTGACCTGGTGAGGGATCTGGTGCTTGCTGAAGTGAACCACAGAAACATTTGTATTACATATGAAGTATTCCACAAATGAAGTAGTAATTCATAGAGTTTTAAGAGATGTTCGGCATATTATTATTTTAATATGAAAAAGCTGCATGCCTTTTTCTTTCAGGGCCCCCCTGGCAGTATGGGTCCTCCTGGACAAATTGGACCATCAACACCAGTAAGAAAAATCAAACGGGCATGAGGCATGAATACATGTATTGAATTTTATTTAAGAGAAACTCCTCACTAAAGGTTTATGGCATCCTGAAATGGTTTTGGAATACAATGAGTTTCGACATGGTTAACATCTAGGTCACCCAGTGCAGAAAATTCAGTTTAATTTTTTTTTATATTTACAATATGTTTTGTTTTTCTTTTAGGGTTTTCCAGGCGAGAGAGGTGTCGAGGGTAAAACTGGAACCTCTGGATCAAAGGTATAAAGTACCTTTTATTTTTTCTGATGCAGTGCAATGCTTTAGGTCTATAAATTGACATATACAGCTGTAAGGTTTCACTTTATAAGCTCTTTGACATGTTCACTGTGTGTTTGTGCAACTCAGGGCAGCCGTGGTGGGAAGGGAAAGTTTGGACTTCCTGGCATCAAAGGAGAAATGGTGGGATTTCATCATGAGTGTCAGCCAATGGGCATCATTAATCTTGATAAAGAATATTTAATGGTTAATAAAGATGTAACCACAGTGAGACAGTGTTTCAGTGTTTCATTCCATAATTCACAGGCAGTTAGAGGTCGAATGGGCGCAAAAGGAGAGCCTGGGGCAGGAGGCACAGTGGTAAGACAGGATGTTTTATATCACAAGGGTTGTGTTTTAATTTGTACCTTGTTGAATCAGTTCATTTTGTATCAGACTTGTGTAAATCAGTGTAGTGATACAACAGAAAACTCAAAGTACTTGGTCTTTTTCGATTCTCTGATTTTTTGGAAATTTTCAAAATCCAAAACAAAAAACAGTCTGGCTTTTATTATTTCAAAAATATAATTATTTAGTAAATGAGTGTCTTATGGTAATATATCTGTGTGACTGGATTTAGGGCGCAGTGGGAAAGGTGGGCTCCATTGGCCTCCCAGGTGCTAAAGGTCCAACTGGACCTACTGGTCCAACTGGTCTACCAGGAATCAAAGGAAGCCCGGGTTAAAGGTAAGATGAAGCACAGCACAGATGAACATGTATCAGAGAAAAAATAAAGGTAAGACAAAGTTGTCATTCTAATGTCTTTATAAAGGGAAAACTCCAGCATGGGAGGAAAGGAAAGAAAGGAGCTCCTGGAAAAACTGTAAGTCTGGTATTCAGTATCCTTGAATCTGGTGTCACTTGATGCAAAACTCTCTGTGGCAGTTTTCGTGTTTCAATTTTTTTGTCTGTGCATCAGAGTTGCATCAATTAAGATCTCTTTTTAGGGAACTGACGGCCTGCCGGGTAAACCAGGGCGTGCTGGAAGACCTGGAAAACCTGCAAGTATCCCATCTGAGATATAAACATATGCCACCCAATCAAATACTGCTATGATATAAAATGTTATTTTAAGTAAGAAATGTGTTGATGAATGGTTTGTTGTCATGTAATTGTGTTTGTTCTCAGGGCCTAAGTGGATTGGATGGGTTGCTAGGTGTTGAGGGTAATGAAGGAGATCCGGTAAGAAAAATTTCCCTCAATGCAAATATGTCTGTTTTAAACATTTCAACTAAATGTCCCCCCTCATCTTTGCTCAACTTTAAGGGGAACATTGGTTTCAGAGGAGCTCCTGGAACACCAGGAAGGCCTGGAGAAACTGTAAGCTACCAAACAGACACATATGATATGAAACCCTGCAAATGTTGTGGTTTTAAATACAATCATGTAATGTTTTAGGGGAAACCTGGATCTCCTGGGATCAGAGGAAACATTGGATCACCAGGCTTCAAGGTATAATATTATGTTGTTCAGTGTCAGTGAAATACTTGCTCAAGCTGTATTCAATTGTCAAACTCCATTCATATAATCTTCTTTGTCATGAAAAGGGGTATTTAACATGTTGTTCTACTTTGTTTCTCAGGGCAAAGCTGGACCAAAAGGAAAACAAGGCCCCCCTGGACCAATGGGGCCAAAGGTACAGCGTTTTTGTTCATAAGCTTAACAGCAAGATTCGATCTGTAATAATTGGCATTGTACCTTTTCCAGCAAATGTCTCCTTCTTTATGCAGGGTATCCCTGGACTGAGAGGAGAGAGAGGCCGGTCTGGAAGATCTGGTTCAAAGGTAAAAGTCAGACACTAAGTGTCATACACAACCTTATCTGACCTGAACTACTTCTCTAGACAAAAACACAAGTTTTCAACATTTAAGTATATGTATGTTTTTAGCTTTGGCAATGTAACTTTGTGATTAATTGCATGTTTTAATTTTCTGTACTATCATGTGTCTGTTACTTTTTTAACCTTTTTTAAAATCTGCTGCAGAGAAGAATGACATTGAAATCTATTTTTTTTTAAAGTCAAATGTTAGTTAGGCCCAAAAGAAGGTTCAGAAATCCCACAAATATTAAATCACACTGTCTGAGAATCATTGAATTGTTATTGGATCAGTACTTTTTAACTCCTCCTTTTATTTCCTCGTACTTTCCTTCACCCACAGGGTCTCCCAGGTGACACAGGGATTCTGGGACCAATCGGGCCACCTGGGCTTAAGGTCCGTTAAAACATTTTTGAAATTAAATCATGTTAATTCAAAAAGGAATCATTTTCATTAATTTCTTACCTTTCTAACGTTTGTTTTAGGGGAATCCTGGTTTACAGGGACTTAAAGGTCAAAGAGGTCCTGGAGGAAAGCAGGTAAAGTCTGTTGTTACTCTCTCTCTCTTTTGCATTGTTTTCAACAGGTTGCTAATTATGAATCCACTCACTGATTTTCACAGGGGAATACTGGTCCTTCTGGTCCACCTGGGCAGAAAGGCTTGTTTGGACTCACTGTAGGTTGCTTTACTTTTCTGCAATAGAAGAAAACATTTATGAAACAATTTCACTGAGTTTATTTCTTTACTGTTTGTTGTTACAGGGCCAGTCTGGAAAGAAGGTGAGAGACTGTTAATAACTTTTTCTTTCTTTTTTTTAAAAGAGGATGTTGGCGAACAGCTGATATAGTCAAAATTTAAGTGACTTCTGTATTAAATTTTAGTGGGCTCTTTCATTGTTTTTTTGTTTTTTTAGTAGTAGTGAGACACGTTAGCAGAGGTAAGCAGTTAGCTTTCTCAGAGTTGTGTTCTGCCTATCAGCGTGACTGTAATTTGCTTTTACAGGGAATGAAAGGCGTCCAAGGCAGAAGAGGACAAAAGGGAGTGGAGGGCAAGCGTGGACCTCCAGTAAGAAGTTTTTTGATATTTGAAATGTGGTGCAGTGAGGTTTAGACTTTGCACTTAACAAACAGTAAATCTTTTTCTACAGGGGAAACCTGGTGCACCAGGTGAACGCATGTCTTCACAGAGACTGAAATCAAAACAAAAGCCAAAACAAGGTCAAAGAAATGAGAAAAGACCTCAAACAAGATCCAGTCCAAAACCGGGACAAAAAAATGTGACGAGACCTAGACGAACACCCAGCCAGGAGCAAAGCGAAGGACAACAACAAGTAATTTTAAAGCTTTTCTCTCCTGTAACACCACATTTACAAAATGTTGTTTTGTGTTCAATTGTGCTTCATTTTCAAGGAGCTGAATTATGGCAGATATTTTACCCACCTACTTTTATGTTCAGTCTTGTTTAATGACTGAATGATTGATTCTTCTGTAGAGAACAAGGAGATGGTCTGAAGGATACGAGGGTGGGGAGTCCTTCAGCTGGCCTCAGGGTACCAAAGACGATCCTGCAACCACCTGCCACGAGCTTGGACTCATACACCCACATCTAAGTGATGGTGAGAGGCTGGATAGGCTAACATCCACTGTTGGATTTTGATCTGTTTTAGGTAAATAGGGGGCGGCAGTAGTTCAGTCTGTAGGGACTTGGGTTGGGAACCGGAGGGTTGCCAGTTCAAGTCCCGGTGCGGACCGAAGATGGAAGTCTGGTAGCTGGTAGCTGGAGAGTTGCCAGATCGCCTTGAGCAAGGCACCAAACCCCCTACCCACCACCAGCTCAGCAGCGAGTGACATCTCTCCATTAGTGCATGTCCATAGGATCCTGTTTGTGCATGTGTGTATATTTCAGCCTATGTATGTGTTGTAGGACTTACTGAGTGTAAAAACAGAATTTCCCCTTGCGGGATCAATAAAAGTAATTCTTAATCTTAAATGTTCACAGTTTATACCAAATGAAGTCTGTTTGATTGGGTTCTCAAGTCGACCAATAAAGTATCTGTCTCTGTCTGTGTGTCTTTCAGGTTACTATTACATGGATCCAAACCAAGGCTGTCCCTACGATGCTGTAAAGGTTTTCTGTAACTTTACAGCTGGAGGAACGACCTGCATTGACCCTTCAAAGTCACAGGTTCGCTCATACACAGTCTGGTGTGAGGTATCAGTGCGCTGACTTTTGTTTGACCTAAACAAAGTAAAAGGAACAGAGAAAACGTTGAATCTCGTGTTTCCAACAGAAACAATGTAATATTTTCATGTTATGATAAACTCATTTAACAGCCTATTAAATCAGGGGGTCAGATGTGATTGCTTCGACTTTCAACCAAAATGAATTCAAATCTCTTAAAGGGCCAAATGTTTGCACTTTTGATTGATTTTTTTCTGCAGATTTCAAACATAGGAAGCAGCTAACATGTAAGTCTTTGCCCTAGGCAGTATGGACATATAGATAAGATTGTACAACAGTCAGTTACAAACCAAGTTATTTTACTAAACAAGAGGCATTTAATGAGTACCGATAGAGAGAACAACATCACTTTTGATTTATCTTTCTGCATCACGCCTTCTGATTGCGGCTGTTTAAATTTTAGCAAATGATCAAGCTGGTACTTCAGAATCATACAGGCCAACAAAAAAACATCAAATGACTCCTATTTCACTTGTTCATGATCAATAAAAACTCTTTTATCAGCTTAAAACAAAGTAGAGGGTCTGCTGTAACGTGTAGACGTACTATGACAGACTCATGACAGAGTCACATTCCAGCGGATATCAAGAACAGCACGACCTCTTGTGTGATATGACTTAAATAACTCCTGGTAAGGAGGGGTATTTTTTTGTAGATTGGACTGTTGACATAAAAAAGCAAATGGCTTCAGAAATAGCAATTATATCTTATTCTTCAGATTAAATTCAGTTGGGAACCAGAAAGGAAGTCATCGGAAACGTCTGTCCAGTGGTTTAGTCAGCAACATGGTGGAACCAGGGTAAGAATGTGTCACATTTCTTGATTAATCGATGAGCATTGAGCACATCTATCATCAGTGAGCCCTTTCTTCAGATTTTAAATGAAAATGTGTGTGTCTCTGACAGTTAGAGTACACTGGCTTGGGTGTTGTCCAGCTGAGGTTTCTGCGGTTACACAGCCAAAAATCTTCCCAGCGCATGACCATCAGCTGTACAGGAAACCCGCTGCGTCTGTCATGAGTGACTTATCCAGTAGGAATGTTCGCTTTCTGGGGGACTCTGGCAAAGAAATTATATCACATCTTATCACAGTGTCAAGGAACAACTGTGAGGTAAGACTACAAGATGACAATGTTGTTAAAAACAGAGTTTTTGTATGTTTATCCACTAATCTTACTGTAATAAACATTAATTAAAATATCTTCATTACAGCAATTTGTTAAGGGCATCTTAAGAAATAAAATTGAAAAATGTATGTATGAATATATCAAACACTATCCAAACATTACATGTTTCCGACGTTGTTGCTAAATGTTTGGATGTAAATCACCAATTTAATATTAATTACGATGACAATTTTTTAATTGGCAAATTTCCAATGTTTTTAGATGTTCAAGGCTATAGCAAAACCTGTATACATGCTTCCATTCATTTATATCATCCAGAAGCACAACCTGTCATAACACTTTTATGCTGATGACACTCAATTATATCTATCCGTTAAACCAAACAACCTCTCAGAACTCACCTCTCTTACACAATGCCTTGAAGATATAAAAAACTGGATGGCCCATAACTTTTTACAACTAAATGAGTCAAAAACCGAGGTTGTTTATTTTTGGCCCCCCTCACTCCATCAAACAGGTTTCCAATAACTTAGGTAACCTGTCCAGCTACATCAGACCCCACGCCAGGCTTTATTTTCGACACTGGCCATCTTTCAGCACTGTACAATTTCAAAGTTTAAACCCATCTTCTCATTCAGTGATTTAGAGACAGTAATTAATGCGTTCGTGAAAAGTTGTATTCTATCTTTTGTATTTAAATTGTCACTTTATACTTTTGGTTTAAATATGCTGTTTTTAAATATGCTTTATAAATAAATATGACTTGACTTGACTTTTTCCATCACTCCATAAGCTGCCATGTAAGTTTAGGTCACAGGAATAAGTAACATGGTTCACCTGTCCTCTTTATGTCTCTTGCAGTGGGAGGTGGTTGTGATGGTTCAGGGGGACACTGAGGTACATCGCGGCCATATGGAGTTACTTCCTGTCAGAGATCTGGGTGTTGACATGAATTCACCATCTCCTCGTATCCCTGAGATCACCATTATCCTGGGTCCCCTTTGCTTCTTGTGACCCATGAGGAGTATGTGTGTGTTTTTTGGTCTGTGTGTCTGAAATTCTGTAAATATCTTTTTCATATGGAAAGTCAGGATGGCCCATATGGTATGTTTGGATGGCCTCTGTATTATATGTTTTGCTTATTTATTGAACCGTTTCAACCTGGATGAACTGCATATTTTATCATATTTGGCATTATATAAATTGTTACCAAATATTTTATTTACTATCATTGTTTCCTATGACTCATCCTCTTTACAGTGGAATGATGTGCAGCACTATTAAAATAAAGTTAAGACCATGTGAAATGAAGGCCATGTGATTTAAATGACTCTGCCTAGACTGTTTATTTATTACTGAAGTTGTTGAAATATTTTTGATGATACAAAGCTGTCACTGCATCACGAAAAGACCTTTTTGTGACAGAAAATGCCTGCAGTCCGACATATCTGAAAGGCTTGCGTTACAAAGGTTTATATTGTATCCCATGGTGTTATCCATGATTTTGATAAACGTATCCCTGTCCTCGAGTTAATAGTATTTGCTATGGTAAAGTCATAAGACTAGTTTACTAACTGATGACTGCACACTGCAGCATCATAGCAAGTTATAACTGATTCAATGTATTGTCAAGTGGTTTATTTTTGTAACAGTAGGTCTTTATTGCCATAAGTACCATTCAAATCATTTCAACCTGAACTAATCATGGATAATGTCTATATACATCATTAAAATTCTATCTATCTATCTATCTATCTAAATGGGCAAAGACTTGTGTTTGATCACAATCTGTGGAAATATGTAACTATATTCACCTCTGAAAGAAATGTATCAACAATGCTTACCCTACTAACAAAGAAAAACCCCATAACAACTCCAGACCTTGATTGAAAGTGTTTTTATCCATTGTTACTTAATAGGGAAATTATGGGAATATATCCTAGAAAGTAGCCTATTATAAGTATATCAAGTGACATGTGAGGCTTGGTCCTGTCTAGAATACAGTTTTATTCATATAGTTCATAAATGCAACTATTTGTGTCTGCTGATCATTAAGAAACAGCCTATTCCCTAAAACAAGGAAAAATAATACATTTTTATCTCTGCTCTGTAAGGTGACCTTGAGAGTTTTGAAAGGCGCCTTTAAATAAAATGTATTATTATTATTATTATTATTATTAAGTTTAGTGTTAAATCAAATGACCAAATGGGGGGGGGGGGGGGCACATTTTAGCTCAGTATACTTTGAATCCTGACTGTGCAGGTTATGTAGCAGGATGAGGAAAAGCATATGTAGGAGAAAATAAAACTTGTGATCTGGCTTATTGTGTGTGTGTTTAAACATTTATGATTTCACATATCCTGAAATTACAACATGATCACATTTGGTCATTCTTACACAAAATTGTAAGAATATTCTGTAATAGTCCTCAGTTTCAGTGAAGGATGTTGTGATGAGACAGAGCTCGTTAATGAAAGTCACTTCTGTTGAATCTGACGCCAGAGGTGGTCAGCACTGTGGGCGCTGATGACATCGAAAGGAGGAGAGACTTTCGACCAATCAGCGTGCGTTTCCCAGCTCCTCATCTCCCCTGTTAATGCAATGGGAAAGGTGAGCAGCAGCCCAGATTGTTGCGATTAAAAGGATTTAAACGTCAACGTTTGAGGACGACTCAGTAAAAAAAGCGAGAAGGTATCTTAGAAGTCGCTAAAAAAACATATTGTTTTGTTTCCTTTTTCGTTGTCATTGAACGTTTCTGTCAACCTGTTTGCGCAGCTAACGATGGACGTCAACAAGTCGGCTAATTTGACTGCATGTTACCTGAGCTAGCAGCTGTGAGTTTAACCAGGGAAAAGCACGACCGTAGAAGTATTGAAACATTAAACCAGGTGAGGGTAGCTCAAAGCTGTATAGTTGACTGGCAGCTTGTCACACTGTCCATTTAAACCAGCTGAGGGAAGCTAACTCGATGTTAGCTGTGTGTCTGCAGCCTGTCTGTGCATGCATCATGTGAGAGTGACTGTGGCTGTCAACTAGGTTTTGTTTTGTTTGTCGGGGAACGGCCTGAGCATTTTATCCATGTGAGTAGGCTACATATGAGTGGTAGTGACAATTCATGCGTCCTTAAGTCGTGACACCTTTATAAGAAGTACAGTGTTGATACTGATTGATTTTGATTTAAGTTGTATTTCTGTAGGATGGAGAATGACAGCGACCCCCGGTCTCGCTGCCGAGCCTTTCCTAAGATGCCCACCCACCCTGATGTGGACACACCTTTGGAGGAGGAACAAAATAAAGGGGATCACCAGCAAAGAAATGGGGACACCCTCATCACCAGCAATGGTAAGAAAATTACAAATTCCTTGTCAGCAGGCCCAATGGAAAGGACAATGACCTCTTATTCCAGAGGAATTAGAGATGCGATGTGCACTTGATTCAACCCTTACCTCCCTTCTAGATTTACTGAATTTCCAAACACATGTTTGCCAATGATAGCATTTCTCAGACGACTGGATGATTTTTCCCTCTTAAGCAATGTGGATTGACTTGTTGTGGTTCACTTTGTTGCCCAATGACCGGGTCACAGCTTCTCCATGTCACAGAAAGGAAGGTCATGTCAATAATAAAATATTGAGGAATGTTGACTGAAAAACAGCAGACTGGCATGTTATAGACAACATGAACTGGCTGCATTTTTAGAATTAAGTACTGGATTTGGAATGATAAAAAAAAAAACTTACAAGTTATGCTTGTAAAAATAGCTCCCTGCTTTCAATACAATATCAAATTCAGTACATGTTTTGTGTGCTATACTGTTTCTTCTATTGATCATGGTGGTGGTTGAGGTGGAGTGTTACATCTTCTTTTCTCTGTTTGTTTGACTTCAGCAACTTTCCAAAGTAAGTTATTCACCGTCAAGGTTGGCGAGGTTTATTTTGACAGTAATCTTCAAAACAATCAAATGAATTTACTAGTTTCTGGACAATAGGTTGTAATTGCTACAAAATGTCATGGGTGTGTCTCCCTTTGGATGTGGCAATACTGGATCTAAAGTTTGTATTTCCCAGATTGTTTTGACAGGACTCGATTAGAACCTCGTTTAGTATAAGCTCATTGTCAAGTTTTTCAGTCACTGTCAAAAATGTTAATCTTTTAATAGAAAGTTTCATTGTTGGGCTGCTTATGTAACTAAAATCAGTTGTTTGTGTGTGTGAACTGTAAGCGATTTTTTTTTTCTTGTGCATCTCCTAAAAGGCAGATAGCCACTTAAACATTAACTATTTTGTTATCAATTAAAACATTTGACAATGGAGGGAATTGATGTTGGCATTTAACAGGTCAAAGTTCTATTGTGTCATGCTGACCGGGCAACTCTGTTGGCACTGTTGTTAATTCAGGTGTGACCCTAGCATTATTATTTAATGTGGGATAATTATCAGCAGCATGTTGACTTTTTTTATCTTATCTGCAGACTCATGTGTTCTGTTTTGAATTTCAGGAAAATTTGAAGTGGAACATGTAATCAGCAAAAAACTACAGCTGAAAAGAAAAGCAGAGGTTAGTAGATTGGTTTTTGGGTGTAGAAGAGGCAAAGACCTGGGGCATTTTCAACCAATACAGGTGTAAAAAGCTTCCAACACTTTACTAACGCCTACAAGACTTCTACAGATATTTACAGCTTAGGAATCACTTTGACAAAAAAAATTCAAACTAATATAGGCAGAGAAATGGGTCTTATTTTCATTGATGTGTATACAGGTAACATTCACAAAAAGCTTGTATGAAGATTACACTCATGTCTTCAATTGTCCAAGAACAACAATACTGTAGGAGACGGAAGCAAACATTACTCCAACAGAGGAAGAGTGGTTAAATATCTGTAAAATACAGTCTACTGCTTCCTGTTCTGGTCCATGGGGAGAATTTGCATAGAAGAATATTACCAGGTTTTTCCGTCACTCCCTAAAGAAAGCGAGCGAAAGAAAGCGAAAGTGGTTATACGAGGAGCCACCAACAAATAGGGATAGATGGCGATTGTAAGTATTTAGAAAGTATTGGTCCAAATGGTTAAATCCTGAGTAATAATTATATAGAAAATAAATAATATGTGCATTATTACCTTTTCTGACTTTCTGCTTTGCTTCTTCTCTTGTTTTCTGTGATTTATTCAAGGTGTTTATATGTAAGTGCACTATGTATAGAAGACAATCATTTTGAATTCTCCATGATAGACTGAGACTGACATTTACCTGAGGTGATCTGATATAGTGTCGGGGTTCTATCCCCAGTCTCTCTTCATAATTGGGACTATTGAGATTGTAACCCTTAATGGAAAGTTCACAACAAATAACACATGAGCTGCAACACTTCATGGCCTGTTTATTCAGCTATACAATTTATGTTGTTAAAAACCTGGGCCATAATTAAATAACATCCAAGATGGAAAACTCTTGAAATTGTTTAATTTCCACCAAATATAGATATTTTTTTTCTTCATCCTGCTGTCAAGAAACAATACATTTCAGGTTCACACATCCACAGTCAGGAACACTTGTCTATATTTGTATTGTGCATATTTTTAGTTTGATGAATTTTCTGTTCCACTTACACAAATAATGTTTTAAGAATTGTTTCAAACTGAAACCTTATTAGATTGCTTTCAGTCTATATAAATCCTCTTTGCTGTTTCATTTGTTCTGTCTCGAGGATTTTCTGACAGAGGACATAATCATTTTTATTAGGGCCCTACCGATGTGGGATTTTTGGGGCCGATACCGACATTGATATTTGGGAGGGAAAAAATGCGATACAAATATATCGGCCGATATCTTTCTTAGATCTATGCTCGATCTAAAGAGATAGATATTGATATTCACATTTATTGTGTTGATCCCTCAAATGCAGTTATCTATCACTATTGAAAAGATAATAAAGACAAAACTGGAAAGTGATTGCGCATGTACCTACATCTCTGCTTGATACTCTATAGGGTGATAATGCTTGTTGTAATTCATATAACACACTCTGCTGGTGCAAGAGAACTGCTAGTTTAATACAATTAAACTCAAATGAAATGCTATTTGACTGATGAATAAATCTAGTACTATAGTCACATATCTGCGATCAAATTAGCGATACTGAGTCACAGGATATGTTAATATCGGCCGATATTATCGGGTGGCTTATTAATCAGTTGGGCTCTTATTTTTGTTATTGGCAAATGACACAGTTTGTAGTTTAAGACCAGTTACTTCACAGTGGCTTATAAAAACCTATATACTTCCCTGAATGTAAACAGGATTGTGATTTAAAACAACTGCATGACAAATTAAACTATTAAAAGTGTTATCATCATAATGCTAACACAGGACAGGACTCATAGTTTGTTTACTGTTAATATCATAAAGTTAGCTGTGCTTTTTATCAACAGCAATTTATACATTTCTTCTCACGAGGCTGGCATACCAGAAATAACTGAACTAAAAGAATCACAGCAACTACTGATGATTGCGTAGTTGCCTTTGTGGGTTTCTCCACGACACATTAAGGAAGCAATTTTGCCGTCTATTGTTGAGAAATTAATACCAATGCTAATTAAACTGTAGCTATAAATCTTCTTCTCTTCAGCATCTTTATTGCCACATTAATATATGCTACATTATGTGTTTTTTTTTAATTCTAAACAGTTTCTGCTGTCTATGTTTGAATATCTTTTGCTTTATCTCAGTACCTGAAAAGTGACCTGATGCGTCAGTTTGACAGTCAGGTCAATGACTTCATGGACAGTCTCATCGAGGAGTCGGCCAGCCTGGAGCCAGCACCTGTACCCGCTGTCTTCTCACCTCGACTGTCAGACAAGGAGAGGAGCAAACTAAGGTGCTGCCTAATGACTTTCAATTCATTTCGTGGTTGAACTTATTACAAGATTTAGACGAAACAGGCAGGCTTTCCCCATTCGTCCCTGGTCATGCACATCCTTTTTCGACTACAAATTACATTTTGAAGGTCACCTATGTCTTTTGTCTTTTTTTCACACAGGCATATCCGGCCCCCTCATGGCCAGGGGAAGCTGTTTGTCAGTCGCAGGTCCCTCTTAGAGTAAGTTGGCACACTGATATGAATGAAATGTAAATTTTACTTCATGAAAGCTCAAGTGCAACACAGCAATTGTTCATAACGAAGACTTCCTTGAGATTTTCTGCCACTTTTCAAACGTTTGTTAACATCGGTAAAGTCGTAAAAAGTCTAATTTCATCTTCTTTTTTTCTTTACAGTGAACTGTTTGAGGTGAACCACATCCGAACCATCTACCACATGTTCATCGCCCTGCTCATTCTCTTCATCCTCAGTACACTGGTGGTAGATTTCATTGATGAAGGCAGGTAATTTCCAAGACTGCTGTGAATAAAGCCATATTTTTATCACCTTTTCAATCAAGTCCATTCCATTGAATAAATATCATCTTACCTGTTTAGCATATGCATTTTTTTAAATAATTTGATTGACACAAAAATGAGTGAAGAACAAGAATGAGAATATGATGACATGAGTATGTAAGAGAGAATAGCCTAAACGCCCTCTGGGCCAAAAGCATAATTTTTACTCAATATTTATGTTAGTACCAATATTGAAGACAGATGAGAACAATACTTGGCAGCAAGGCATCCCTAAATATCCATCTTGTGATCCAGTGATTTGTCTTTTATAGCTTTCACTTTTTGTAAGAGCTTCAATCTCACCTGTGTTTTGAATCTCCTGTTCCTCAGACTTGTCTTGGACTTTGACTTGCTGGTCTATGCATTTGGACAGTTCCCCCTGGTGGTGTGCACGTGGATCTGCATGTTCCTGTCTGTGCTGATGGTTCCCTACACCCTGTTCCACCTGTGGTCACAGACCCAGTCCGGCTCCTTCAGTCACCCTTGGTTGTACAGTTTGCTGTTTGGCTCTGTATTCCTGCTCTACCAAGCTCTGTGTCTAGGATTCCTGCCTACATATATTGCATTGACCAACAGTTTGCCACCTGCCTCCAGCTTCATCGTTATCCTGGAACAGGTAGATGAATCAGTGCAGTTTCTTCCACTTTATAAGCAGGACCATATCCATGGCTTGAAATGTGCTGTATGATCGTGCTCTCTCTTCTAAAGACTGACTTTAAAATGTTCTATCTGCTGTGATGTTTTGTATTATTGGTGTAATTCCAGGTGCGTCTAATGATGAAAACCCACTCCTTTGTCAGGGAGAACGTACCAAGAGTCCAGAGCTGGGCAAAAGACAAGACCAGTATGTAACTTTCCAGATCACGCATATTCATTTTATCTTTGTTGTTTACCCTGTTTATCCATGCACTTGATTTTTATTTTTTTTGCCAGTTCATGCAATTTATTTATTTCTGATGGCAACTGTGTTCATTTGTTCTTGATGTCCCTATGCTTATAAACAGTATCTTCTGTCATCTGTAGGCCCCAGCCCAGTGGTCCCTCAGCTGTCTCAGTATCTCTACTTTCTGTTTGCACCCACACTCATCTACAGAGACCAGTACCCCAGGTAAACAGACCTTCTTATTGTTGGTTAATTGTTACAAAAGGTAGCCCATGTGTTTGGTAAAACTATTATTCCCACATAATGCAGGAACCCAACGATCCGGTGGAGCTATGTGGCTACAAAGTTACTTCAGGTACCGACTTTCTTTTAGCTGACCTTATTAAAAATGTCAAGAGAAAATATGTACCATTTAAGTCTAACCCTGCTCACAATTTTAACCATTCCTACCACACAGGTCCTGGGCAGTCTGTTTTATGCCTATTACGTGTTTGTGCGGCTCTGCATCCCTCAGTTCCGTAGCATCAGTCTGCAGCTTTTTGACCTGAGGACCATGGTCCTCTGTGTCTTTAACTCTATTTTGCCAGGTAAGATTGGCAACTACCCTATCATTTATGTAATAGTCTTAGTCTCAATGAGGATACAGTAGTTAATACATTTAAAACTTTCCTCAAAAAATGTACTTTTTTTTTCCTTTACAGGGGTGCTGGTTCTCTTCCTGGGATTTTTTGCCTTCCTCCACTGTTGGCTGAATGCTTTTGCTGAGATGCTCGCTTTGCTGACAGAATGTTTTATAAGGTACTTGTGCTGTCCCTGGCTGTTGCAGTTTTTTTTATTAAGTTTATATGTGTTTATAATGTTTGACTTAAGTGATTTTGATTGCACATGGTGATCACACAGGATTGGTGGAATTCAACCTCTTTTGCCAATTATTACCGCACTTGGAATGTAGTCGTCCATGACTGGCTGTTCTACTATGTGTACCGGGACTTCCTGTGGGTCAGTGCTTTTTGATATTGATAATGATATTTCTATTTGTGAAAACAAATAAATAAAATAACATTATTTTGAAAAGCAATTTATAAATGTCCCGAACGCATTACCCAAGTAATGCTAATAGAAAAATGAATGGAGACGACTAAATTTGTTTGAGGTTTTAACTTGTCTGTTCTCTCTGCTGTTTTCCTTCCAGATTTCTCAGAAGCGTTTCAGACCAGCAGCCATCCTGTTTGTGTTTACAGTGTCTGCAGTGGTCCATGAGTACATTCTTGCAATCTGCTTTGGATTCTTCTATCCCGTGCTTTTCTGCCTCTTTATGTGTTTTGGAAGTAAGACTTTAATACTTCTCAATTCTTCACAGACTGTAACTGTGCTTTTATTACACAATCAGCCTGTAAACATTTCATTTCAATCATTTAGTCTTTTCACTCCTCACCCTCTCACAGTGATGTTTAACTTCATTCTGCACGACCAGAGGAAGGGTCCCATCTGGAACATCATCATGTGGACGTCCCTCTTCCTGGGTCACGGAGTCATTATCTGTCTGTACTCTCAGGAGTGGTATGCCCAACGTTACTGTCCCCTGAAGGAGGTAACACCAGCAGCATTTAATGCAGATTGTAAATTAGTTCATGCTGTGTCAACACAATGCATGAAAACAAAGTCAGGTTCAGGTGAAGATATGATTATTATATGATGTTTGTTTTTTTCATTTCAGTCTTCGTTCTTTGAGTTACTGAAGCCTCGCTCCTGGAGCTGTCAGAGAAGCCTGATGGCAAACTCTGACAGGCTGTGATCTACGTTTGGACTACTGGCTAGGACAATCACCGATCAGTATAAATTTGACAAGACTTTCAGTTACCTTCATAACATCTGGTCTTTCATTGATTTATTTTATTGTACTGAGGCCAAACTGTTCTTTGTAAAGGCCTTACTTAACTGTTTTTATGTTTCAAAACCTACTAAATTACAAGTTCACATGAAACCTCATGTGACCTATTTTAATGTTTATATATTATTTATATTTCAGATGTATTCCCTTTGACTTAATCCTTTTACAACTTTAAACCTCCTCCTTGTGCCAATATGATAATTAGAATCATGATTGCAGCTGAATACAAACATTAACAAATGCAGTAACAGTCAATATTTAACAAATGTTGCGATTACCAGTACTACTCTAATGTCAATAATATTCAGTAAGTTGTTTATAAAAAAAACATTCAATTTTAGTTCTGTTCACTGGCAATAAGATTGATTTTTAAAAAGTGGTGTATTATATACATTTGTGAGGAGCTGTGGCTTCTGCATTATACTGAAAAGATCCCAGTCGACATCTCTCGAGGAAAATAAGGGTTGTGTATGACGTGGTGATATAGTTGGAATATTATTTATAGTAAATCTAAGACTTTGATAGAGAGTTTTTACAGATAATGGTACATTGGAACCCTTATATTTCCCCAGACCCAAAGTTAATATTTCTTTGCCTTTTATTTCCAGATATAAGGCCACATGAATGTTGGGTCATTACAATTATCCCATCTGTATTGTTAAGGAACAGCGCATTTCATTATGCTGGTTGGAGTTAATGACTGCTGAATGTATACTTCATGATTTGATTTTTTTTTTTTCTGGTTGAAATGCATGTACCTACATTGAATCTGGATGACGCTTTAATTTGTTCATGACCATTTTCAATGGTCATTGTTTATGTGAAGGTGACTTAATAATGTTGTTACTGTTGCAGCTGGCTGCTAAATGTTGTAACATTGACATCATGATGATACTTGATTAGCATTAAGGGCTACAGTCTGCACTGTGAGGGTAAATTGAATGAGACAGTGTTTGGTTGTTAATATCACACAAAAATTCAACAGAATGCTCATGTTGTGTAACTAATGGGAAAGGAATATAAATGCCCAGTGTGCTTATAGTCTCAGTGGTCTTAAAATGTGTTAACACATTTGCGTATTATTGAGGAAATAGCTAAGCCAATGCACAGTTAATATTGCCAATTCTGATACATTACAATGCTAGGAGACTGTATTTATTTGTGAATGATGAGATGCAAAATACAAGGTTAAAACCAGCAATGGAAAACTGCACTTTCCAAACTGTATGACCACAAGGTGGCACTGTATTCAAAGGTTTTAGTTCTGATGCTTCTTCTACTCAGATCTGCTGCCTGGTCAGGAGAAAATGCAACTTCCCCTGTGAGTCCCTTCCTTGCAAATTTTATATTGACAAACACAAATACCAGCAACCTACTTTTTGTTTATTTCTATAGATAATAAATAAATAGTGAAAAAGGCCAGAGGTAGGCTACTTGCTGTGAAATGACTCTTAAGAAGTCTATATTTGGCTGAAGCCTTAATCTGAGATGTTGATAGGATTATTAATACGGATAGAGAACAAAGCAGCAGACATGCTGCGCCATACAGATGCGATATTTATTTTTTGGAGCATACTTTTTCCTACTTGGTCATGGGTGTTCATTGTGTGTGGTTTTTGTTGTTGTTTTGCCTTGACTAGCTCAGTGTCAAGTGGCAGTTTTACAGATTTGTATATTTTGGGCTGTAGACACATTTCTGATAAATGATGTAATGACACATTAAAATGTTTAAACTATGAAGAATAAAAATTAAAAAAAGAGTTTGAAGTATTGGTGCCCTTTTCTTTGTTTTTATATATGTTCTGTATAAAATGGTGAATTAAACAATTGAAAAATGTCGAAGGAGTCTGTCTTATTGTATGTACTCATCATGGAAACTCATATACAAGTGCATATTGTTACAGCACAGAATAAGGACTTTAGTAGCTTTACAGAAGTTTGTAGGCCTACGTGACCTATTAAAATATAATCTGTTTTATCTCTATTTTTTTGTAGCATACATAGGGAGCAGTTCATATTGCCCTATAGCAGGAGTTGTTGGGACACTATGGTTGGGACAGTGTTGAAGAGCTGGAGGAGGATGGTGACAGGGGGATCGCGGAGACCCCCCCCCCCCCCTCACCTCCTCCTCCCCCCCCCCGCCTTGTGCAACACATCTTCTGTTCTGCGGTAAAGATGGCGGCGTCAGAGGGGGCGCGTAGCGGCCGGACAGCGGTGGAAAGGTTTTGAGCAGCTCCTCAATACACCGATTATTGCAGGTCCGGGTTGCCGTCTGTACATACTCGGACACCGTAAGGATCATCGCGAGAAAGGCAATCGCTGTCACACGCCGCGGTTGCAGTCTTATTGTTCAGGCAGGGTGGGTGGGTTTCACTGCTAGCTGAACAGGCTAGCTCACACGGGCTAGTTGTCGTTAGCTCGGCGAGGGAGAGTGAGGAGGGGACTGAACACTATTCGGGCCAGGCCGCCCCCAGCTTGAGGGAATGTGAGCCAGAGGTGCGCAGGGGGGGTTGCTCGCTTCGTCCCAGACGTCCTTACACCAAACCACCGGGATGGGACAGCAGGTAGGCCGTGTTGGTGAGAGCACATCGACCGGACTCCAGCCACCACAGCCCCACGCGTCCCAACCGCACCAAGGGAAGGGGAACCGGGCGAGCGGCGCCGGGAGGAGACCCCGAGAACCCGCTGCTAGCACCGGGACACCACCGGGAAGGGTCGCTGCGGTCAACGTGCCCGACCCAGGGATCAATATATTCGTGCAGCATTCAGGTAACGCCACGTTAATTTTTTTTTAAATCTGGTCCAGGTGATGAAGTGTTCACTCTTATATTTGTTTGCTGATGATTAGCATGTGCTAGCTGGTTCAATGCTAGTTTGACAAACGACGCGTTAGCGGAAATAGCTTCTCCGCCAAGACCGAAGCTATCAATGAGATGTAATCAGTCTATTGTGTGTGTGTTGTGTCAGGAGGTGTTTTAATCAGGGGATGGTTAATAAAGTGGCTCAGATCTGCCACCGATATAGCAGTATGTGTGTTCTGCATGTGACCTAGTGATCCCAAAGGAGAGACAATGTTTTCGATAAGAGGGAAGAGTCTGCTGTGCCCCCCATAGGATCATGACTAAAGTTCGCTACTTGTGTTTTTTTTTTTTCTCTGAGGCCCCCTTTATGTGATACTTGGTGTGATAAACACTGATTCGTGCCTGCGGATATTGAGCAGCAATCCCACTCCATTAACTCAGTGAAGCAGCCACCGCAGGCTCACATCACAATAGGCTTGTGCTTTTCACATGCTCACTTACATCCTCTGTGTGATAGTGTCAACTTGTGAGAGCACATTCAGCAAGCTGACTGCACACTGTGGATCACACTGGGAAATCTGTGTTTGACATTATTTAAGTCAGCTTCTTTCATGAAATGAAAATCAAGGGTGAATCTATTCTTGTGCGGTTGTGGTTTTAATACTCCCAACATCTTACTTTAAACATGATCAGTGAAATAATTAGTTGACTATGTAAAAGATCACAGAATAGGTGTGGCAGTCCCTCCCCTCGCCCATGTGCCTGCCTTTAGAGCTATAGCTAAGCACTGATATTGTTATCTGCGCTGTGAGTCATGGAGAAATGGCCCGACAATAACTCTCTGTGCCCTAAAAGGCTCGCCTTCCTTCCTTTAAGCATGGTCTGAATGGCTGACATGGGCTTCTAACAAATGGTGATGACAGGATGCCTACGAAGTAACGTGCGTAATTCAATCACCATAATGTATTCTATTTTAATGGACGTTTTGTTGTCGATACTCAATTTGATTAACATGACAATCATGTAAGTGCTCTCACATTGTTAACCCGGAAATTGTTCTTTTTGTGTATGACATCATTTGCCTGACTTAACATGACACCCTGGGTGTAAACTTTGTTGTGTGTTTTGTGCGTGTCTACTACTGTTGGTTTTGTTTCTCCCCCGTGTGTCCTCCAATGCGTGGTAATGTCACGTGTGCTGCACTGATGTTAAACTACTGGCATAACTCACCTGGTTTCCGCTGATATTCCAGCACCAATTGCATTATGCAAGGACACATACAATGTGCAAGATTTTGGTACCGGATCACATTTTCAATTCCTGGCTGGTACATCTCAAAAGGAGCCCTCCTCAGCTTGAGGTACATGTACAGAAGGACAGACCTGCTAAGTGCTCAACCACTCAGTGGCTGCATCATTGCCTTTTCTCCGACGTCTAGGCAGGAGTGGCCTTTTTATAGCAGCCAAGATTCAGTCACAAAGCCACTCTGCTGAGAGACTGCTACTCTTCAGAGCACACAATAATAGAACAAAGGCTCTTAAGTGAGCAAGCTTGGTACTGTGAACTCAGTCTTACACTTACTATCAAACCTCTTCTTTTTCATCTATTTTGTATACATTCAGTGCTTATAATGGCTAAAATTACATCATATTTTTGTCAGTTGATTATTTACCTTATAATGTAATCCAGCATTCAGTATGTTAAAGGGGGAAAAAAAACAAAAACTGTAATTTACAACTTCAAGTCCAAATTGATGTCACAGCAGCAAAGATTGTTTGACTGGAAGCCACAAGACATCTTATTTTATTCATTCATATTATGCACGGATTTAACAAAGCATATAAAGAAGTTCATAATCATGTATTGGAAGCCATAAATGGGGTAGATGACTGAATAGAATAAACCAATATTGATTTTGTTATTTATTTCCTTATAGTGTTGATCGGTTGAAGTGATGTTGTGGCTTTTTTTGACAAGGACATCATGTAAGTAGGTCTTGTACAGGGGAAGTTCAGATAAGGGGAACTGTGATTGTTCCCTGCAGGGAAACTGAAGTGCCACATCAGCAAAAGGAAATGCAAAAAATAGTTAATTTCCCAAGCTATCAGGGCTCGACATGTTAGAGTGGTTTAATAACCCTGCTTTATGAAAGATAGGCACACGGCTAAATGATGCCTTCTTGTTGTGTAATTGAAAGGTGCCAGTCTATGTGGAATGTGCTTTTGTCTATTAAACCTCTGCCGATGCATCATCCAGGGAGTATGAATGTGTATCATCGTTGCACATGCTCCCAGGGAGTTCCTGTCAGATTCTCAAACCACAGAGCCATTTAAGGGGGTCATATTAGAGGCTGGAGGTCGTCAGTGGAAACTGGTTTGTTCACGTGTGGCCTCTACCTCCCTCTTTCCCTTCCGTTCCCTTTTTCTCAAAAACTGTAGATTCCAGCAATGGGCTGTATCTGTTTCTTCCCATTTAAGAAAAGAGAACTCCTGTCCGTTGCTCAAGAGAGCAGCAGTTCCCCTCAGCTCATCCCCTGTCTCACATAGACGATGTTAACCCCTCTAGACAGAGGCCAGCTACAAAGGGCTGAGCTAAACAAGGCGACGGGGAGCAGAGCGACTCTGTGCTGATTCAATGAGTAGCAACCTTCATGAGTATATTGATAGAGGTGCAGAGTTGGTGAATCAGTGGCAGCCACATATCGATGGCTCCACCTATTTAGCTTTGTCAGGAGCTCAGAGATCTCCCATCTCAGCAATGGGGTTTTGTGATGCACATTCTGCTGTGTGAAGAGTCCTGTGAACTGTCACAGAGGAGCAAGCCTTCATAATGGCCGCTGTAAGGTTACCCCACAGTTAATCACTTTCATTGCTTTGTTTGAGCACATGCCTTATATTTAGCATACCGCTATATGAGATTCTAGTTTGTTAAAGAAAATCTGTGTTAATTGGCCATATTGAAAAGAACCAGTTCCAGTACATCTAAAGGTTCTTTTTATAAACTTGGCAAAGCATTGAGTCAATCTATTTATATCCTTAACAGATCATAGAAATTGGGGGATCTGAATACTCCTTGGCAGCAGTTCTGATGGTGAAGGTAGAGCCAGCTGCTGTGCCTAAAGTGCAGCACTGTTAAAGCTGCCCGAGACGAGCGATGCCTGGATCCAGGATCCATGGACCTAAGCTGATTTGCATCATGTGTGAAATTAGATTAGAGACAAATCCACTTCACTGTGGACCTTATGTGCTAAAACCTAAACCACAGAGATAAGTCACACAGAAGCCACGTATCTAGGGAAAATCCAGTTCGGGGTACTGATATTTTAATAGGCATTGATATTTTCCTGGAGTGAAGATGATTTGTAGATTAAAAAACAATTTGTTGTTCTTTGTGCTATTAACCACTAGGAGGAGCCATGGCCACACCTCCTCTGGATGGCACTGTCTGGAAATTAGGGCAAAACAGACGAGTCTGACAGACTTTCTCACATATGAGAATAAGCATGATATGATGGATGTGTTGAAGGAGACATTGTATTTCAGTATCATGAAATCATCATCAGAAATGAATTAGAACACATCAAACATGATTTTGATCTGGAGGCTGCATGTACCATTGTGCACTCTGTAATGGTTGTGGGTTGAATAATTTACGTCTCCCTGTGCCTTTGCCCTCATCCTAAGTGTGGCTTGTACCACAGCTGACTGCCAAGCATCTCTATCCCCAGCTCATCTCTTTTGAACCCTGGCTGTTGCAACTGACCTCATCTCAAATCTTTCAATCTTTGTAAAATGCCTTTTCATTTCTAAGAACAGCATGTATACTACATTATGAAATGTTAAAGCACTGACAGCACAATTTAGATATTTCTCGAATGTGTTAGTAAGAATTTTGTGATTGTGTTGTTGTGACTGTATGCTTCTGAACCAAAAAGAATAGTTTGCAACCTTGAGCCTGTGTGTCTACTATCATTCAACCTTCTGAAGCCCTAGTTTTTATTGCCTGGCCTCCTCTCTCTACAATTGATATCATAAGA